GGCGGAACAACTTTAGGCGAGGTCGAATCAACGGCCCGGTAATGAGATGGTTCGACGCCCTGAGAAAGCTGGGGGGAAATCATGGCAAGAGATAGGTAGGCAAGGTACCTTGGAGACAAGAGGATAAAATTCGAAATAACCGACCCGGTCTGCTCATCAGCAGCAACCAGGCGTCTGGGGACAGTGTTAGCAATATCCCGTAGGCCGTAGGAAACAGTAACCTCATGGGCAGAGCAACTTAGCCGCAGACAGACTCTTGCAATGCCCGGGAGGGGTAAAATCCTGAAAAATTGGAGAAAAGCAGCCTCCAGTCGCTAGGCGTGAGAAAACCATCGGCTCGCCATCTGCTATGTACGCACTGACAAAACCCCGGCATGGCCTGGGCCGTTGTAGAGTCTCCATTTTTCGCATCTGACAAACGGACGGCCGGCGTGGAGTCTCACTGAGCGGATGAACAAGCATTCGTGCTGCTTATTATGGATACCCGTCCCTTCTCTGGCCCATAATGAAGCAGAGACCGGACCAGACTTGGACGAGCGTACGAGGCCAGACAAGAGTTAAATCCGGCTCTGCCTGCTACGGCTTCTGTGTCTTGACCTTGCCTCTGCCGCGTACTGGGGCTCTCGAATGGTACCGAGGACATTATCTCTCGGACCTGCAGGTTCCTCAACTGATCCTTTGAGATATCCGTATATTGCTCGTCTTTGTCACTCTTCAGTCCGTCTGAATCCCTTGTTCCTTCCCCCACCTGTCGGTTGGTGGTCAGGAAGCGAGGTTGAGGGTGCATACGTCTGTGTACGAATAGGCGTACGGCAGGCTGGGTAACGCCAGGGCTGCTTGAGTGCTGCTTTTCGAAAACATACAATGTAGAGTCTGACTCTTGATGGAGGGCCATTGTCGCTCTGAAGATTCTGATATCTGATGGATGATGCAGCCAGGACCGTGACAGACGCAGTGCCGTCGCTTTTGCACTCACATTCTTCAGTCTGACCTGCCACATTGCGATGACCGGACCGACAGGGTTGACGTTCCATGATGCTCCTGATCCTTGCCTGACTTGGCCGGGGCGGATGCTGTTTTCGTGATGATAACGGCCCCGGGGTTCGTCCTCGCAAAGAGGCGCGAATATTTCCCGTAGCTTGTAGATCGCTTGGCTTGGGGTTGAATGAATTGACCAGACAGAACGTGCGCAGGCTGGGCCGAACAAGCGGAAGGGCCACTGGCCCCCATGCTGCGTTGTCCTATGCTCCAATGTGTACACAGTACTGAGCTGCGGAGTGCGTGCTGGGGTGGTGGAGATTTGGCGGATAGTATCCATCAATCATCAGCAAGCCAGTCGGTCTCCCGTCTCTTCTTGGTGGCCGACGGGAGTAGGAAGTCGAAGGCTAGGAACCCATTCTTTGCCATAGACCGGACCGGATGGGATGCACTGATACTAGATTGGCACACCCACCGCGACCACTTCCGTGCCGGCCGAACAGAAGAGCGTAGCCAAAGCGTTCTGCGTGAAAGAACATGTGCACAGTAGCATATGACATTTGTTGCAGGACATAGGAGGAAAGGCAGCAACCCATGCTAACAGGTCGTATGCGGCGCAGAATCCAGCTCGTGCCGGCCGCTATCTCGGGGTCCTCGACATCCAAAGTCTCTCTAGAGTCTAGTGGCAGGCAGGCAGGCAGGCAGGCCACATCAGGCCGGACCGTCCTGCTGCAAGCTGCAAGCCATGAATCCATGAACTTGATTCTGACCCTAGAATCGAGAAGAAAAAAATGCGAATTACTTGCAGTTGTGTGAGACATTGATCAGTCCATCCTTCAAAAGTTCGGGCCTGACATCAGAAAGCACTCGCATGGTGGTATGTAGGAGACGACAAGGACGAGGCAGCATGTGGATGGACAAATTAGGTGTGGTGTGCGAGAACAGCATGGAGATGCTTTATGTCTGACTGTCGTGATCTCGATTGAACACGAGCCGAAGAAGACGAGACGAAGACTAGCCGCATCAGGACGGGAGGACGTCGTGCCTGTTTCCTAGAGAAGATGGGTATCCGTAATCGCATGCTCTTTGGGATGGTATGGCGTGGGCCCCAAGTTGCCTCGCAGAAAGACATGAGGGCAGACGGGCGACGGGGGCTGGAGGTGGCAGCCGGATCGGCCGTTCGGCAACGGCTGCCACATTCGGGTGCCCTGTTTGGTGAAGCCGTTGAGGATTGTGCGGGTGCAGTGCAGCTCGTCAATGCCTAGCATCAGCCATGATCAGATCCCGAGTCTGTCAATCTGTTCAATAAACCTGGGGGGGTGTTTGCTAGTCAAGCAAGTAAGGTATTGCAGGTACCTTGAGAGCGATGATGCATTAGTGAAAAAAGGGAAAATGGTGGTTGACGAGGGCGGGAAAACCAAAGGAGGGGAAAAGAAGATGGATTGCATATTGGCTGAGTCGATCCTCCGTTGTAATTGGGGGCAGGCGGCAGGCGGCGGAGCGGCGGAGAGACATTCCATAAACGCGGGCGGGAAGATGGAGATAGTGTGATGGACGCAAATGCAACTGCAGTCCAGACCTTGGTAGGTATCAGAGTTAGCACCTCTAATTTGTGACAGGAGACCAGCAGAAGTTTGAAGAGTACCTCAATATACCAGGTGTTGTATATATGCGTACATGGAGATATGAGATTTGAGATGGCAAGATTGCCTGCCGTTGGAGAGTTAATTTTGAGTGGCTCGGGATGGGCGTGGAGTGCCTCTTTGGAGCGACTTGCCGGGGATATGTCTCAGTCTATTTTGGCACCTCATGATTGATTGTCTTGGATGGAGACGGTTGAGAGAAAGCCGCGCCTTAGCGGCTCCAGTGACGACTAGGCAGAGATGCCAATGATAAACGAGTGTGAGGGCGGGACGAAACAAGGTGGAATGTGACGTGAGGCAAGTGAACAGTTGACTGGGCGTACGGAGTGGCCTGGACCACAGCTGGTGGTGTCCATATCTGAGGTTGGTCATCCATTGTCAGTCCCATGGATGGACAAACAAACTGGTGTGTTCGTATGTAAGGTAAGGTATGTGAGATGAGGAAGTGTGTGTGCCTGTGTATGTGTGTGTGTGTGTGTGCAAGTGCGGGTGCGTGTGGTGGTTCAGATGACATACCTAGGTACCTACCTCGGTGCTCAAGCCCCCAGCCACGATTGCGTGTTTATCTTTCTTTCCCACGGATTATGAAGTAAGAAGAAAGCAGGTAGGTATCCGTACCTTCCATGGGAACCTTTCCATGGAATGGAAGTCGAGGCAAGGCAAGGCAAGGCATGGAAGGAACCTACCTAGGCAAGGTAGGTAGGTACCTTTGGAAAGCACGCACGTAGGGAAGGAAGCTTCATCAACAAGCTCAGAGTGGCTACCTTCCTTGGACCATCGGATCCCAAGGCGGGAAAGTGTCTGTCCGTCTTCCCCGGTCCTGCCTTGCTCCTCCTGCCTTGCACCTACCTTGCCTGCCTTCCATGAGGTAAAGTAAGGTAGGTAGTACGTCCCTACCCCGGATTCCGAGCCTGTCCTTGCCTCGATCTTGTATTTCTCAGCCCCGACTGCCTCACCTCATAAGATACGCACTACCTATGTCCATGGAAATCCGAGCAAGGGACCTTAAGTACCGACCTCCATTAGGTAAGCTACCTTACCTTACGGTACGTTCGGGTAGGGCAGGTACCTTAATTATAGACAACAATGGCTCGCACATGTACGGATATTGAAAGATATCCACGGGAACGAATGTGTGTTTACGGAGTACTTACCTTGGATAACTTTTGATGTGTTCCCAAAATGCTAGTCTCTTGGCCAAGCAAGGTATCAATCATTCGCTTCGGTGCCGCGGATGCCAATTTCTTTCTGCTGCGAGGGACATTGCGCCTGCCGCTAGATGAATGATGCATGGGCTTCCTCCCGCCCCTCAAGCCCAGGTTGATTTGATGCACACATCATTCGTCCATGGACTATCTTCAAAGCCATCTGTCACTTCTCTTCTCTCGGGAGTCAAGACATACCTACGTCTCGGCTGCCAAGATACCTTGCACAGAGGTATACCGCTGTTGCTCTCTGGCTGGCTAGCCCATCACCGATTGCTTAGCTCGAGGTCCCTCTGGTGGGTCTCACGGTTTACACATCGTCTTCCACCACGCACAGTTTATCTTTGCCGCTGACCTACCTAAGTATCTACCGTATCCCTTCCTGTCAAACAACACTATTTGCTTCGGTCCTACGTCTCAGCCAGCCCTCGCTAGCCCTCATCCCAACAGAAACAACCAGCAGACGCCGAGAGAGAGAGAGAGAGAGAGAGAGAGAGAGAGAGAGAGAGAGAGAGAGAGAGGGGTGACGCATGGTGCCCCTCCACCCTCGGCTGAGATACGGATGCAAGAGGCATGGATGTCTTCAACCTCCCAGCATACTCTATTTCTCCCACAGTCGCTTGCTGCTGCAATTTCCAGATCTTGCCTCGCCTCGGCCTCCTGTCCCGTACGCAATGGAACCGGCGGCCGCATGCGCCGTTCGGCAACATGGCCCTCGCAATGAATTGCCCCCCGGAACCTCCCATCTTCCTTGCCTCTGGCGATCCCGGCCGTTGACGGATGCTGGTCAATCAATGTCCGCTCCTTGCTGACCCATTGTCCGTACGGATACACGAGTCCATTACTCCGTCCTGCGACGATACTCCTCCGGTCCTCCACCATCGCCTTAGAAGCTGCGCAGAAAAGCAATCAAGCATACTCCGTATTCATCTTCTATATGCTTACGGGTGAATCATGTCATCTTCACCAGGATGAGCCGCCGCCGCCGCCTTCGCCCAAGCCGCAGCTTCCGTTAGAAAGAATACCTTACTCCTCCCATCGCTCGACAATCCACAAAGCATCCCATCTTCGTCTATTCGCTACAGGGCCATTGAGCGCCAGCTTCAAGACAGCACGGGCGTGTGTCAACAAAGTACCTTGCTGTGCCTCTTGAGAGCTACTGTGCCTACTTTGGATGATTACGCCCTCCGACACTCACCATCAACCAGCATCGAGTAGAGGGTGGACATGGTGTGCTGCATCTGGCCCCATCGGGAACTTGCTAAGAGCCCACCACAGATCACCGTCGCAGGGAAGCTCGCCGTTAGCTCGACATTACGACGTGCTTGGGCGTTGGTTCAATGGCTCGCCGCAGCCTCCGGTACGATGCTGGTCGGCTGCGACGCCTTGGCTGGCATCTGATTCCACCACTTTTGTCAACCACATTCCGTCACCCTCTGCTTCGAATTCCATGCACTACCGAGCCAATGGATGCCACCCCGGCTTCTGTGCAGCCATGCCAAACGCCACTTCGCCAGTCGTAACACTGTCGCTGTTGTTCGTCTGCGTTGGATTCCAGAAGCATGAATGGGCCCGAATCTGGGTCCGAGCCTTTGGTCTTCCATCAGATTCCGCCATCATCCCTCTTAGGGTATTTCAGGTGGTCGAATCTTGCATGGAACAGCTGCCGTCGATGCTTCACAATCGCCACTGTTACTTCACTATCAAGACTTGTCTGCAGGTTTACCGTCAATGGAAACCCGCACCTGTTGATATACGTCGAACTGCATCGGTTCTTTGGATGGCAGTCCAAATGACCCATCATACGCATACATATAATCCACTAGCCAAGTTGTAGACCGTAGCATGACTTGATACAGAAAAGTCGTCAAGTAAACAGGTTGGGGCTCAGTGTCCACCACGAGTCATGGCTTCTCGTGCGATTCTGGGCAGGCAGCCTGCGACTCCGGCTGATTGCGGGATAAGCCCCTCGTCAACCTTTCCGCAGTCCGCACGCCTCCAGGCCGAGCCGATATGAGCGGGACCTCCGTCCTCGAGACATGCGACCCAGGATCAAGTTTGTGGACGAGGGGTACCTACATCGGTGCATGCATTCAGCGCCCCTCTCTAAAAGCCAGCCTGCCCAGCCTCGCTATCTTTTCCCGCACCGCAGCCAGGTTCTTTTTTGCCACAGGGTAAACGCTCTGGTACCGAGCGTTGCGAAAGCGTGATTGCTTGGTCTCTGTCTTTTTGGTTCGGACGCTTTTGAGCCAGGTCAACCTTTCACGATTAAGTTAAGGCAGCCCTAGCTATATCACGAATACTGTGTTCGAGGGATGCATCGGAGCCATGGATAAACGGATCATGGTTGACCACAAAAAGAGGCCTTACGTGCCCTATTATACGCATCATCGCCCGCACTTAGTCAATCTCAAAGGGTCGAGGCTCACAGAGACGTTATTACCTATGCCCGGGGCAGCAGATCGCCGCTTTCCCTGGTTAATTTAGAGCGCAAATCGCGACTGATACTCTGGGGCAGAGACCAGGGATCTCCCCAGAATGTTTTAGCTCCTTCGGACACAATCCATGTTACTCCTCCTGGCGTGCTTGAAGAATGCCACGGCCACCTGGTTCGGATGACACACGGACCTTACCAAGGTGTAGGCGTCAACTGCCCGAGAAACGTCTGAAAATCAAGACCCCGGAAACTGTCCGCACACATAGAAGCCGCAAATTCGCAGCCGCTTGACCGAAGAAACAAGGCAGCTGTTCGATACAGAGCTCCATACCAAGAGAATCTTCTTCTTAGGCTTGAATCTACTCTTGCTAGGTCCCACGCGTCATGTCTTGAGGGTAAGTTGACAAGCCAGAAAGGTCTCTGCAGAACCAAACCTCCAAACAGATAGAACCCCTCCCTCTGGATTCGAGGTAGTGGAAGGATGTGACACAAAACTCACCCTTCACTCTGCTCCGTCGGACGGTTTCTTATGGGTCCACTGTCTTGCCTATGCTCACACACTCCCTCGACGGTGACTGGAACGAAGCTTGAACCCACTCGGAAAACTCTGCATAGAGTCGCGGCATGAATATGCACACTGTCATATCGTCTGGCGGCTTTCATTCCTGCCTCTGAGAGCGTGTCTTCTGTCATTTTGTGAGCTGTCATGTATTCACAAAACAGTCGCAGGTGCCGTCCGTATTGCAAATGCATATCTATTTTGGACGTGCTTACAAGCTTCTCGTACAGACTCCTGTTAATGACGCATCCTAGAACCCCAACAGGCTCAGCGCGAGACGATGATGAGGTAAAGTCAACTCGAAAAACTCAGCATCTTGATTCCTTAGGGCTCCAGCCTATCTTGTGGCCTGATTAGATCGCGATCTGATGCGACCAAGACCAAGGGAAGATCAGAGCTGACATGAACTCCTCACATCTCAGCTGTTCGTCAACTCCACGGTGTCAAGGTCCCTGCACTATGCAGTGTAATATACCAAACTGTCAGGCTTGTCATCACTGATACCGGCTCTGCAGTCTACCTTCATGGTGGCCAACAACGGAACTGCGGGCAAGTTACGCCGGCAGACCCGATGCGCTGCAAGCCGGCATTCGCCAATATCAGGGCCGGGAAGCGAGAAGAGGAGTCTAGAACACCGTTTCCTTCTGAGAGAGGCGCTCCAACCGCTCCCAAGCCACCGGATCCCCATGACCTGATGTCCAGTAGGAGAGTTGCATTACAGGAATTTCAGCTCGATAAATTCCTTGTAACTTGCTGGCACTCTTCCCCCCTCGCACTTAATAATCGATCTAGAGATGGCCGAGAACACGGATCCTTTAATCTTCCTGGAATGTAGTGGTGGCCGCGACCTTCCTGTCGACCAAGAGAAGCCGTCCTTGGGTCAGCTTCTCATTCATCTTCACGTCTAACAGTATCTTCTCAGCAACTACTGTCTCATCTCGTCATCTTTGCACAGCCTTCCTGAGCCGCCGTGGCTTATGTGATTCTCTCTAACCGTTTCTCCGTCATCGTACATCAGGCCCCAGTCGCTTGGGTGCCGCAAAGGACACTCACGGTATGACCCTCATGGAAGGCTACCTAGACAGGCTTCAATTCCATATCCGGATGATCCATACACCCACGCGACCTGTGATGGATCCAGGCCCTGATGACAGCGCATGGTGGTATGGGTGGAATCGTGCGGGAAGCGCGTCCCGGGGAAGCAGGCAAGCACTTTCCGGAGGAGTCGATCTTGGATGATGCGCATCCAACCTCCCAGTTTCATGCAAACCCGTTGCTGTTTTGTCTGGATAAAATCCTATTGCAGCTCCAACCGTGCCTGGCGAGCCACACAGACGACGTATGGGCATGCATCCGCCAAGGAAGACTACTCTTCTGAGCGAGTTCCCCCATTCTATCTCCGCTCTGTCATGATAAATTCAACGATTTGCTGCGCCAGACGCACAGCGTGCATGTATGGCAGCGTAATGAGTTGTCCAATTTCTGACGCATGTCTCACAGGTTGCAAGGCCCCGGAGTTGATGCGACATCGTCAATTTGGCAGTACCCGTACTGAAGATGAGCTATCGTCTTTTCCATCCTGGACAGTTTCCAACGGCTTCTGGACACTCTCTACCTCTGGAAAGAATCAAGACAAGGTTAGAGGAATACAGAGTTCGCCCGCATAGGAAAAGTCAGTAGTGTAACACACACGACGCCTCCCATGGTGTTGTACATGCAGCCGCACGGCGGCAACCAGGGCCAAACCCTCGCACAACTCTACGAGGTTCTGCTAGTTGTGTAATTAATCAGCACAACGGCAGCAGAGAAGTCTTTGGCTGGTTCCTGGAACCCTTGGACTTCGAGTCACACGAGGGAGCATGCATAGTGACCTACGTGCCAACATGCGACATGGCTATTGAGGACAACCGCCCATAGGGCTGTGATCTCTTTCAACCCTCTTTTCTTGTGTTGAATATTTCGATATACCCTGAGATACTCGTGATGGTAAGCCACTGAGTCTCGTTGTTACGCCAGGGAGAGAGTTCTTTTCCAGACTAGTAATGATAGGAGCTGCATGAAAGGGCCCAACCATCGACTCGGACGTGTCCAGGGGCTCGCCCCTTTTGCCCCAGGTCAGTCGAGCCTCCACATTGAGGCTCTCTTTCGTCGGGAACGAGTGACTCAACATGGCTCGGGGACTTTCTTCCAGGCTGTCTTCAGCCCATCCTCTACGGTCCTGGAGGCCGACTGTCATGGGATCTATGCGATTCGTTTCCTGGAGGCACGGTAGGGCGGTCCAGCCGCTGGTAGGCTCGTTCAGGACTTGGGGATGCTTGTCAAGTGACTCTGGCGTCCTGCTCTTTCCTAACTCGACTCTTCACGCTATCTCAAGCCCTGTCCGCCTCCTGAGGTGTACTCAGGATCACCGCCAACCTTTTCCACTCTCGCCACTTGCCCCGCAGCGCAGAGTCGTTCTCACGATGATTACTGGCGAGGTCCTCGGACCATCGACCCGATTCCTCGAAGTGCTTACCGGATTCGTCTTGTTACACAGGCAGATATGTCCTGGATTCGAGCATGAAGGATCCGGATCTGCAAGAGTAGCAGCGAAGACGGCTTCGAAGGCTACAACAGACTACCTCGGGGTACATCTCTCACCCTGGAGCTCATCCAAACCCCGACTCTCACGCGAGTAGCCCGAGTACTAAGACATGGTTGTACGCTCTGTCTACACGGGGTGTCTTTGCAAGTGCGTCCTGATGCCAGACTGGGGTCCAGGGGACCACCTGTGCCCAGGGTAGGTTGTCGGTTATTAGGGTCCGAGAAAACCCCTCGTACGATGAATTTCGACTTGGTGAAGAGGCTGTTTACTTCGAGTGGCAGATAACGACGCCCCGAGCCTACACGTGGGTCCAGTGAGAATCGTTGTAAGTATGTCTTTCGAGTGAAGGTGGGCCTCGTGTGAAACGGCTTTGGCGCCCTCGCCGAGGGTCCTTGGAAGGCGAGCCATGAGGGGAAGCAATATCCCGCTTCAGTTATGGCAAATACGGGCTGTCCTTCGTCAAAGGGGAGTCCACTGTGAGCACGACGTAGGATGTGTTGCTGGCGTCTGCCGAGGATACAATACATACGTGCCCGAGATATGACAAACTTCGACAAATCGCGACGCTTGTTTGCTGCTGACGAGCTCATTTCGAAGGCAATGCAGAAGCACGAGAGATAAAATGCGGGACCTTTCATGTCGTCGACCAGCTTGGTAGACTGGCATTCCAAGGTTGCTATGCGCCTGTCGGATAGGAGGTGGCGAGGACAACAAGAAGGGCTGCGCAGAGGAGCGGCGCTCGATACTGAGAGTCGGATAGACAGACGGTAAGCTTCCTGCTTGCTTGCCTCCGGTGAGCAGAACAGCGAGTCGGTTTGAGGAGGCGTTGCCTATCTGCGGCTACTGGTGGTCAGGACGGTCGTCGGCGATGTATTGGGCGGGAGGAGAAGCGGCTCGGGGTCGGTCGGCTACGCCGTGTGCGGCTCATCGTGTACGTGATTCGGAAGGGGATTGGCGGTGTTGATGAGTATCCGGTGTGGTTATCCGTTCCCGCTGCGGAGCTTCCACACGGACCTCAGTTCAAAATGGCTCCGTAATGCTCTAGACTTCATCTGTGACCGGCCGGCTTGCAGGTTCGTGTATCCCGTTTCGAGGTGACGTCCTCCAAGATCCCGACTCTTCTGATATCCCCGCCGTGAAACTGTTCCCTGTACCGTCCGGACATCTATCACGAGACATATCGAAAAGGTATACGCGAATCGGGCGTGCTACCATAGGAAACGGCGGACATGCCAGCGAGGCACACGTCTCGGGGTC